TGTCATATAAGAACATCATTTATTCTGATATCACTAAATTTTTTAATATGTATACTGTTGGTATGTCTAATAAATAAATAAATAAATAAACGCAATAGCTATAGCTACAGATGAATTGGATGAAACCATAGTTAACTATAATTATATTATGGTCTGTAAAATGATGATGATTGTTAGATTATATAAATTTAAAAACCAGCCAAATGCTATTCGTATTCGTGCACGAAAGGTTCCATACCATAATCTATAAAAAAGGCAAAAAAATAATGTCTCATCATCAATCATTTCATGAGAATTCTACTTAAAAAAATTATTCTGATTTTTTTTTTATTTGTTAAGCGTCAACAGAAATACATCAGTTTTGCCTTCTGGGAAACAATTACTATGGATCACACAAATAATTGTCCCGTGTGAGAATCGAACCCACGCCGAAGGTCAAGGCATTCTTGACAACTGCGCCACGGTCAGTGATCAGGCGAGTAGTATTCGCGAAATAAACACAATTTTTTCTGAGCTACACTCAGTGACGATCTCAGCTTGAATTATGTGCCTTTGTAGAAAAGTTACGATTATATGAATATAAAATTGAAAATGGAAATTGAAATTGAAAACATTTGCCGTCATTGCGTGCACTGAGCATATCGCGTTCACATAACCAAGAATTATCCTGATAATATCAGGAAAATTCTTGGTCATGAGAACACTTGAAAGTTCTCCAAATACTGAACGTATCAGTTTGTTTTCGGAGAAAACGACTGTACCAAGTATGTCCGGAAGACTGCCTTTTAAAATTTTAACAGAACATCGGAAAATTCTTGGGCATGTAAACGGAGTCCGCACGTTAACTGTAAACCGCAAATTCACTCTCAGTTTACTTTTTTACTTTACTTTAAACTTTATAACTAACTCTAATGTGCGAGAAAATGAATGACGTCTATGGCGAAATGGGTATCAGTACTAAGTCGTGTTTGGTTTTCATAACATTGTTGAGATACAATCGTTCTCATTCTTTTTAATTCTATCGAGGGATTTTTTATAATAAATAGTATAAAGGTTCGATACTGAATCTAATATTTTTTTTACGTTCAATTATTTAGAAAATACTACAAAATAAGTAACTTAATTAAAAAAAAATATCTGATAAAATTTGTGAGTCAGTGACAAAAAATAAATAATTTCCAAACCACAAAGCAGTTAGTAATATCCGAATATCCGACTATCATAGCCTAACCAAATCTATATTCCTAAACAGTGACAGATTTGTTCGGTGGTCGCCCTAGGCTCATTAAAGATTAAGAGAAAACTCTCGCTGGAAGGCACAAAAAATTAAACAAAGAAAGTACATGATATTATGGAACCGACGAAAGGTACCTACTTATCAGGGCCTCTTGATTTGTTATAATTTTTATGGAATATCGCCTACGCAAAGAAGCCAGAGGCGAAAGGCGAGCAACGCTACTCAAAAAACCCCACTAATTTGCAGCCCACATTTGGCCCGCCAAAGTACGCGGCTTATGGAAAATCCACCACTGTTCCCAACAACTATAAAGTAACAGCCTTTAAATGTCCCACTGCAGGGCGAGGCCTTCTCATTACAGAGGATATCAGGGCATAGTCCACCACGCGGCCCCACTGCGAATTATGGGATCGAACTCAGATTGCTCGTGATAGCTGTTTGCCACTGCACTACTTTAATCTTAAAACTCCCATATCTCAAACAAAGCCCAGATGTTGCCCCAAGCTTTGTTTAAGTGACCAGTGAAGCTGCATTAAAATCTGATAAGTAGTTTTCAAGTTTATCGCAAACAGACAGACAGACATAAATTCCAAAAATGATTTTTATGTTTCCTATAACACTTTTTATGATACCCTTTTTCATTTTTTCATAAATATAGGTATTCAATGTACAGCCACGCCGATTCTACTCTTTTATTATAGTATAGATACGCACACTTTGCCCCATGAACGACTATTTAGACGAAACAATGGCATAGTTTGTCCTTATTTCTTGTACCTATTTAATTTATGTCTGTCATTATTCTTTAGGAAATAATTAAGGTTATATCGAACATACAAAATATTACAGTTATGTTAGTTAACAATTATGATAAACAGACATTTAATTGTATCAAAATGGCCTAATAAGACATTACGCGGGAATTAAATCGTCACGAATATTTTAGCAGCGCTTTTTTGCTGACGTTGACAGGCGTGACAAGTGCCAAGGGTCTCGATGTCAGAATTAAAAGAGAATTGGGTACCTACTAAAATTAAAAAGACGAGAAATAATAGGCATATGAAGCTACGATGTTTTTTTTGGTTTAAAAGTTTGCAATAAATATTGTCGATGTACTTTTACGATATATGTAAAACTATTTCTTTTATAATAACAATTTCTTAATATTTATATTTAATCAGAATACGAACCTCAATTCAGAAATATTATTATGGTACAATAAAGAATCAATTTGTTCACATTGCCATTTGTATAATAACTGCCTAGCTCGGCATTCGTTTTAAGTAAATAGCGCTTGCTAAATCAAGGCTATGGAGATTTTATTTTTATGATAATGTCAGTAAGAGCTTAACAGTGCATATTAATTGTAATTTATAAATAACTTCTAATGTTTATTGAGGTACACAGGTGTTGAATAACATACCTTTAAAGAAAGAACAACGAAACGTAAGAAAAAAAAATGGATACCAAGTAGTCAAAAATTCAATCTTTATCATCATTTATTTTAGACATGTTAATATTACTTTCATTTACTTTTGTAAATTCATTTGTATCATCGTTTGGGAAGATGCTTATAGTTTATATTAGCACAAACAAGCTCGTCAATAACTAATAACAAAAAATGGAGAAAATCGATGGACAAACAGAAGACAAAAACTACTATCCAAACCTTATAACATTTCAACTAGATTTTGCTTGAGACTAGACAAAAGTATACGTTACAGATAGGTTATCTAAAAATTAAGTTAAATTATATAAAAGTTTAAGTTAGGGAAATGCACTAGCTTCTATTATCTAGAAGACCGACGTGAAATGAAAATATTACATTTTATCATTTCCTACGGTAAGGTAGTTTCCAGTTTCCCACTGAAATACTTTTAAGAGAGCTTGGTAACAGCGTCAGGAAAACTAGAATTTCAGGTAGCCAGTTTTCAGATATGTTATCTCTTTCACTTTATATGGGCTTATTGGGGCTAGCTGGTTGACGGTAAAGATTGCGTTCCTAATCAAAATCTAAATCAAAAATATATTTATGCAAATAGACGCTTGTGCGCTCTTATGAATCGTCAAATTTTACATCAAAGTTTATGTATGTAGGTTCGTAAGGTACCACCGGTTCGGAAAGCAGTTTCTGTTGAGAAGAGACTGGCAAGAAACTAAACAGTTGCTCTTTTTCAAAAATATCAGGGTACAATATAATATACAGGTATAATAGTCTTATTCTAGCCTACGTGAGTATCAACAGTATTAACTCCACACATTGGCGTCGTCGAGATATTCCGAAATGGTATAATATGCTTTACATTTAAATTGTTGACTTATTAGTTGACTTTTACATTTAAATTGGTCAAGCGGCAGACTTAATATCGACTGTGGAATTTTAATATACATGCGCACACTTTGCCCCATGAACGATCTATTTACTTTTTGTAGATGAAACAATGGCATAGTAAGTTTGCCCTTATTTCTAGTGTTTATTTTATGTCTGTCACTATTCTTTAGGTAATAATTAAGATTATAACGTATATACAATATATTACAATAAATGTATTGAGAAGCAACAGTGAGTATATTAACCTCTTTAAAAACCTAACCCTTCTAATGGCAAAAACAGCGGAGCTTAGCCTATACATTAGTGCGCATAGTACCTGTACAAGTAAAAGAAAGATGTTTCAAATAATTTTAAGGTTTTATTTTTGTTATTATTTAAATTAAAATTTTTTAAACATGAATCTGTTATTGCCCTATATTTTTTGTTTGATTTTACATTTTGTTTGATTAAAAAATAAATTGATTCTTTTCAAAATATTTTAGTACGGATGAAATTTCAACTAAATGGTTTTTAAGTAACTATTTACAAACCCAAAATTAGTTTGCCATACAATAATTCGCTTCTTAAACATACAGCTCGATTAAAAAGTGAAAAGGTACATTATGTTTAGGTTGTTAAATAAAATTGGTGGATGATTATCTAAATCCAATATGACTATATTTAGAGAACTCTCAATGACGGTAATGTTTTTTTTTTTTTTTTATGCGAGAAGTTGCCAAACGAGCAGACGGTTCACCTGATGGTAAGTGAATACCGCCGCCCATGGACATCTGCTACACCCGGAGGTTACAGATGCGTTGACAACCTTTTGAAAATTGGGCTCCGGCTACGTCACTCACCAGACGAAACGCGAAAGAATTGTACTTCCACTTTATGTCGGTCTTCTGTGAGGTCGTGGTACTTACCCGGACGAGCCTGCCCATTCGTGCAACAGCAGAGGCTGCTGCGTGGCCCTACCACCGTAAAGTTGCGAAGTTACTGGAGCACACATATCAAAATAACATGCAAAGGGTATTTCATCAAAAACCGCTGCTGTTAGTTAGTAAACATTTCTAGTAGCCCAATATGGAAATCGGAAATGCCTATATATACCTACTCGGTGATAACCACAAGCAATTGAAAACTAAAACTTACATTTTTCCGTACCCATTGACATATCATTTTTCAAAATTGATAAACCGAAACACAGAAACCTATACTCGAGAATTTATAAATGTACATGTACAATGTATACAGAAAACAATATGAATATATTAATATAATAAAGAGACTACGATATTAATAATTAGAATAAAAAGTTTCAAAGGAAAGAATGAAAACTTCTTAGATGTTGTATTTGGCTATGGAAAGATATTTGATAAGAATAACTGCTTGTCCATAACAGATATTTTATTTGTGGAAAACATAAATAAAAATAAACATATCTTTTTAACAAGGGCTGCGTTGCGAGCAAGGACAGGCCACCGTGGGCTCGCCTTTAACTCCAGCAAGAGCAATCGCTTCAATTTCGATTAACCCATTTAAAGGAAGTTTCGCCACTTGATAAGTTGCTCGGGCAGGAAAATCCTCGGGGAAGTCTATAAGCAAAAAAATAATGTGTTATTTTCACAAGGTTTCTGTTATATGTATAAGCGTTGACATTAATAAGCTGTTTGTAACAGCTAGCCTCGGATTTCAATAAAACAATAACTTAAGCTGGGGGAAAAAATTAATGAACCAGATCTAACGAAAACACAGAGCAATTTTGTCCGCTGGCATGATGATGGCGTCGGTTTTTTGGGACGCTTAAGGGGCCCATTCACTATCCTGCCTGGCAGTCCGCCGTGCAGGACTGCAAAGCAGGATGTAGCCCACACACTATCCTGCAAGCCGTCCATCATAGTGTCAGTGTTATTGTTGTAATAATTATGGTTTACGTGAAGTATCGAAAAAAAAAAGAAAATAGCGATTCTGCTATGTTTTTTTTTATTGTTAGATAAAAGTTTTTATTAATAAATAACCTTTCCTCACATTACCATACAAATATACATAAAATTTAAGTAATAATCTAAACTTTTCTCAAGTTGAACTATTTCAATATAAAAAAAAAAATTATCTTAGTTTTAGTTATCACATCAGACGGGCTTCCCGGGATGCACACGTTTTTTTTTGTTTAAAATAAAGTACCCAGTCCTGTGTAGATATTTTCCTAACATGTGAATAAAATTTAATTCCTAAAAATATTTCTAAAAAATTCCCTGTTACATAATTTCTGTTGTAAATCTGTACTGTGTAAATTTACGAAAAAAAATCCTAATTTAGCATCTGTATTTTCATATAATATAGCGCAATTTTGCTAAGGCCTTAGTGCATTTTTTTTCTTCATATGGCAACACTGCCTCTATGCAGGACGGCCAAACCACTGACGCTCCTGCGCGGCGGACTGCAAGCGGTGGGCAGAGCTTGCAGGTCCCTTGCAGGATGCAAGGCGCGTCCTGCTCGTTGTTGCCAGAAACTGTGCAGGCCTGCAACACCATTCACGATCCTGTATAGACCGGCGGACTGCCAGGCAGGATAGTGAATGGGCCCCTTAAGGGAGGGTGTCAGTCTTTGACTACCCTGATAAAGGCTAAACAATAAATTCGGTTTATTACGAAAATTTTTTAATTTACTTACTCGATGAAAATTTTTACTCGATGATTTTTATGTTTTTCAACCTAGAAGGTCAGGTTGAGGTTGAAGCTGTGGTAAATTACTTTTTTGAAAACCCAGAAAAATAATTTTATAACAACGGCATAAAAGTCTTGGAAAGCAAGCAGAAGTAATGTGTAAAGCTTGATGAAGATTATGTTGAATAAGTTTTGTTCATATTTTCATTTTATTAGAAATTTAAATTTTCATAGTGCTTATCTCTGTACTGAATTTTAACATTATTTTGTTGAAAAAAGTACGAAAAGTTTTCTTAGTTAGCCGCCTATATTTTAACCCATCCTTAAAATTATGATTTTCCTCGTTTACTTACGTTCGGTTTCATTTTCAATCTCCAGATAGATTTGGTTACTGGAGATGAATTTTGGCGTAAGTATTATGGACCTTATGTCTTAAACCTATTGCTAGTAACCAAATCTATCTGTAGATAAAATATTGAACCCGGCCGTTAGTCACTTTTTAGCTTCGTAAAAAAATTCTAAAAATATAGTTTTTTAAAAATCAAGACAACATAAGTTTTTTTTATAATTAATTTTTAATTTTACCTGCTTTTGCTCGTAACACTGTTATGATTATTCTTATTATACATAATGAATATTCGTCCATTATATTTCAAATTATCTGAACATGAAAATAAATGCCCAAAAATGTACTTACATTCACTGTATATTTTATTAACAACTGGAAAGTCCTCCAAATCAGCCATCAAAATGGTAGTTTTTACAACACCTTTGAGTGAAGTATCACCAGCCTCCAGTATGAGTTTAAGATTGTCAAGAGCTTGTTTAGTCTGATACTCAATGCCATTTTTCATATTCGAACTTGCATCCATTCCAAGTACACCGGACACATATATCGTTTTATCTACTAACACGGCTTGGCTAAAATTCACAATTTAATATAAAATATTAACCAAGTTTAAGCATAAAATTGCAACATTTATTAAAATTGCAAATTGCACGTGAACAAAGTAAACTATAGGTATATGCTAATTCGGTAATGTTAATGGAGAGTAATGCTCTATTACACTAATTTCACAATTTTCATTGATTTAACATCTGTGTTAAAACAATGAAAATTGTGACGACCAATGAAAGATTAATAAAGGGACATTCACCTTAATGAACACATATTATAAAAACTACCTACAGTTTCAATATTTACGGACACCGTGTACCCACATCATGAACTTCACCGAAATTATTTTTTTTCTGTTATTTTATAAAATATAAAATTACCTGTATGGCCCAACAGGCTTATATACTTCCTCAGAAGTTATTAATTTTTTTGGGCCTTTTGTTACAACTGTTTTATTACTTGGCTTTGACATGTTTGTTGAAGTTTCATTAATGTCGTCCTACTTTTACGTTATCCGGTACGCGATTAAATACAGAATGCTCGTAGAATGGATGGCGGCGAGGGCGAGGGTCAATAGATTTGTGACATTGTGCTTCACAAGCGATAACCGAAATTTTAATCTAATTTGTCTTGCGTTTCAACTGACATTTAATTTTCAACATTATGTCATAATTTTCCTAATTATTTTAATTTAATTAGGTGTATGTATGTTGAAAATAAGATTTGTTTTTGACTGCCAGTAATTTACGCAGGACTTTTTATTAGGGACCCGCCTCAGATGCAATTCAGTTCTTGCAGTTAATTCGTTACGTAGATATAACATCTTTTTATTTTTTCCTTTTAAATTTTTTATCAATTTTCAAGATACACAATTTCAATATGGGTAACCGATACCATGGATCACAAAATGAGAAAGAGCTGGACAATAGAAGGGTAAAACGCATTTAAAAGTTATTATACTTAAAGTACGGCAATAATTATTAAATTTTACATATATGTGGAAAGACATCTGGCATTGCTAACGATTCAAACTTACTTCAACCTATTGTCACAAGAAGTTGGGGAGGTCTAGACTTGGGGAAGTCTAGCGACGTTAAAGAGCATCTGGAGTTGTCGCTGCTCCTTTCGTTCAAGTCGTAGCTCATTAACAATTTTTAGGTTCCAGGAATCGTCTCATCGCGGCATACAGGCTTAGTTCATCACGGCGGAGAAAAAAAGAAATCTTAACCGTGATGGATGTGGTGTTAGAATCAGAGATGTGTAAAATAGTTTATTAAATGTATTTAAATTCCAAATGCAAATGCTCCGTTATTTTTTATTTTGAATTAAAATACAAAATCGTTGCCTTCGTATATAATACTTTCGTTGTTAGTTTAATATTTATTTTAAAGTGTAAATCACACAATATGTATGCGGAGTTACACTCGATTTGGTCAAAGCATTCGGAAGTAGTAAATTATTTAGTACTAAGCGCTTCAATAAGCATCCTCAAATATGGAGAAAAACTAGTTAGTAGATCGAGCTGTAAAGTTATTTCTCGTTCCGGGCGACCTTCCAACTCTGTTACGGAAGAAAATATCAAAATAAAATTAATAGTTGCTTTTGGAAAAAGAATAAGAGAAAAAGCAAATGGAATTACTATAAAACATTCAGCCGAGATCCTAAAGATATCATCATTTGGCAGCATTCAATCCATTTAAACCCATTCATTGAGTTTGAAAAAAGTGTCAACAGGATGGGTTCCATGAAGGTTAACGGAAGAAAAGAAATAACGTGGTTTGGAAATTACAAGGCGCTATTTCGTAATTTTACAGTCTGATGCGGATCAATTTAGCCGACGTGTTATTACTATGAATAAAAGGTCACGATTTCGATCCCGAAACCAAAAAAAAAATTACCTCTTGGAAATGTGTAAGGAAAAAATATTAAAATGTATCTTAAACATAACCAAAAAGAAAATCTGCACAATAATTATAAAGTATCATTATTTCTGACTTGTAAATTATTCAGAGCTTTAATTTTTATACCAAGTTCCTCCATTTAAAGCAATTTCCTTACAGGTGTCAAAAGTAACTTATATTGTTAAAATTGACTTTATCTAAACAAATTTCAGTCTTGCTATCGATTTTCTTTGTCCTTTATGCAAGATGCAAACGCCACTAACTTCAAAAGTTCCTTGCGTTATCTTTGTTTAAAGGTATTTTAAATTCTGCACAGATGAATAAAATTAGGTACTGTAGCTTCAAATAATATGGAAAACTTCATTTACTACAATTTTTAAAACCTTACGCTGGGCAATGTCCACTTTACCTACAAAGAATTTAAATGCATGTATCATAACATAATTGAGAACTGAAACCTCCCAGATACCTCGCTTCTGGAGGAAATCGAAGGTCATAGCTATACCTAAGCCAGGGAAACCATTAGATGACCCCAAAAACTTTAGGCCTATTGCATTACTGTGCCATACATACAAACTTTTTGAACGGCTTCTACTAACTCGCCTCACAAGCCTTATAGACCTAAGATTAATTCCAGAGCAGGCAGATTTCAAACCCATCAAGTCATGTTGCAACCAGGTACTTAAGCTCACGCAACACATTGAGGATGGCTTTGAGAGGGGAAGAGTGACAGGCGCTGTGTTTGTGGACCTCTCGGCAGCCTACGACACAGTTAATCTGAGGCGACTATTGTGGAAGGTGGAGGCTATGACCGCAGACATTAATTTTGTCAATATCCTCCGAGAGCTCCTCCATAATCGTCGTTTCCAGGTTCACCTTCTCAAGGATGTTAGCCGTTGGACGGTACAAAAAAATGGCCTCCCCCAGGGCAGCGTACTGGCCCCAGTGTTGTTCAACATATACACCAACGACCAACCATCGAGTCCAAAAACCTCCCGCTTCCTTTACGCGGATGATCTTGCACTTACATCCCAGTCGATCAGTTTTGACGAAGTTGAGAACAATCTCACCGCAGCTCTCAACAGTTTAGGCCAATACTACGACGAGAACTCACTCAAGCCAACCAAGACTGAGTCGAGCGTGTTCCATCTACGCAACGCACAAGCGGGACGTAGGCTCGGGATCTCCTGGCGCGGAGTGCCCATTGCGCATAACGACTCCCCTAAATACCTCGGCGTCCTGCTGGACAGATCTCTCACTTTCAAAAAGAATTGTGAGGGCCTTAAACGAAAGGTGCACTGTCGCAACAACCTGTTACAGCGTCTAGTACGTACTGAGTGGGGAGCTACGCCACAAGTGATGCGGACTTCAGGCCTAGCGCTAGCATTTTCTGCCGAAAAATTCGCGTGCCCCGTATGGGGCCGCTCGGCTTATGCTAAGCTCGTGGATACAGCCTTAAATGAAACCTGCCGTATAATAACTGGATGCTTGAAGCCAACCCCGGTGAAGTTGTTGTATCCACTGGCTGGCATAGCGCCGCCAGTTGTACGCAGAGCCGTAGCAAGCTCACTAGAGAGGGCTAAGGCGGACGAAGATAAGCGGCACCCCCTACATGGGCATGAGCTCCCACCGCAAAGGCTGAAAAGTCGAAAAAGTTTTTTGAAATATGTCGACCCCCTCAAAATCGAGCCCTCTCAAGCGAGATGCAGCATGTGGCGTGCTCAAACTCTGCTTCCAGATCCCTTTGTCCCGCTTTCTGAGAGTCTTCCGGCTGGTCATAGACTACCTTGGCCAACCTGGAAGTCTTTAAATAGACTTCGGACTCAGGTTGGCCGAAGCAAGGAAAATATGTTCAGGTGGGGACTCTCAGAAAACTCAGACCTGGACTGTATGTGTGGAGCAGTGCAGTCCATGGCCCATCTGATGTCTTGTGCTGCCTGCCCTTTCACCTGTTCGCAGCAGGATCTGATGGATGCCACAAATTGTGCTGTCGAAGTGGCTAAGTTCTGGGCTGGGAAGATATGATTTGTCATCGACACGTAAAGAAGAAGAAGATAACATAATTAATATAAATGTAATTAGTCAAATTGTTATTGACTGAGAAAATTATTATCATGTATAAATTGCTATAAATTTTAAAAAATATTGAAATCTTAAACTAAAACCTTTTGTCATGACTCACAAACCGCAGTGAAATAAACACATTTGCAATTGTGTACAGGTTACGTGTATAATGTTTGAATTAACATATTGTTTTGTAGTCGTTTCTTTAGTCCTTGATTCCGGAATCCATTACTTTTCACATTATGCATATGCTGAAGGATATTTATAACACCTATCTGGTTCTTAGTAAACAATTTAAATTTCTACTTTCTTAGGAAAATATAGTTGTAGTAGGTTTATATGATAGCTATTTATTATTATTATATATTTTTATTTTTGAAAAACCTAACGCCCGCTGGGCAACAAGTGCGATTTTAGTTTTGATTTAAAGGGCTTTACGCTGTATTTTTTGAAGATTCCACATCGAAACAATGAGGAAAAATAACAATACCTCTTTGATGGCCACATCCAGTTTTTTGCGAACAACTCGAAGACCAAAATAGACCACCTGCGCCTGTACCCTTCTGCAGAGTCTAAGAACGTCTCTTGAATAACTCCCAATTCATCAGACCAGTCGGTCTGGTCCAACATTATGGTGGGGGACTTGCTTCCCACAAAAGTTGGATCCAGGGTCTCCGTCAGTGGAAGGACCTGTGGTCTTCTATTCGGTTGTAGCTCGCCTTCTTTTTCGGCACCTGGAGTACTGGTGTCTAGCACGCAATCAGACTTCTCTCCACCGAGCGATGGCTTTCGACTACCAAAACATCGCCCTTAGCCATAAAGACCTGGTTCGAGGCACCGGAGATCACAAATTGATGTCGTCGTAGCCCAAAACCAGACCACTTCCTCCTCAGGATCGGGACTCTATCAGAGTGTGCCTCCTGCCGATATCTGCGGCCTCGAGCATATCTATTTCGAGCCGCTTGCGGACGTTGGTCAGACTGCAGTAGTGAAAATCATTTATCGGTGGGCAGTGTGCCACATCAAATACGATATGGCGTAGTGAGATAGTGTTACTACTTCTTCCACGACTCTCCATCCCGACACTATGCGAGGGGCAGAAGGAGTGGCCCACGATATATCTACAATCGATTCCCCCTGCCACCGCACATATGTATTCACAGCACCCCGATTAAGAGTCGGAGGTCTAGTCCTGCCACCCAACCCCGGTGGAACACCATGCTCTAGATAAGCTTTGAAGTCTCCCAGGACAAGAACAGGTCGATGCAGGCATCTGCGAATACAGCCACCTACTTCATCTACGAGGGGAGGTCAAAAAGGAGGGGAATATGGGGGTGACTTGACTTCTTCATCCTCGTAAAATTTTTGTCCACTGAGCTTTTACTTCAATTTTGGAAATAAATAATAATCACTAGGGACTGTAGGGACTAGGTCCTGAGTGTAGGGTGCGTTTTGCAGTTGTTCGAAGCCGCATCAATGAATAGCAGCAATCGCAACTCAACTGATG